TCCATCTAGTGTTGACACTTAGCTTTAAATTTAGAAGAAAAATATTAGTTGGTGGATTTAGTGTTGTATTAAGTCAAAACTAAACTAGTTCAAGTTAAAAAGTTGTTAAGTTGTTTAAATAAGTTAAATTAATTAATGTGGTTTAGTTGGTGGATTTAGTTTTTGTAATTAAGTCTAAACTAAACTAGTTAAAGTTAAAAAGTTATTAAGTTGTTTAAATAAGTTAAATTAATTAATGTGGTTTAGTTGGTGGATTTAGTGTTGTATTAAGTCAAAACTAAACTAGTTCACGTTAAAAAGTTGTTAAGTTGTTTAAATAAGTTAAAATAAATAATGTGGTTTAGTTGGTGGATTTAGTTTTTGGAATTAAGTCTAAACTAAACTAGTTAAAGTTGTTCAGTTGTTTAAGTAAGTTAAAATAAATAATGTGATTTAGTTGGTGGATTTAGTTGTTGGATTTAGTTTTTAGAATTAAGTCTAAACTAAACTAGTTAAAGTTAAAAAGTTATTAAGTTGTTTAAATAAGTTAAAATAAATAATGTGGTTTAGTTGGTGAATTTTGTTGTTGGAATTAAGTCAAAACTAAACTAGTTCAATTGAAAAAGTTTTTAAGTTGTTTAAATAAGTTCAAATAAATAATGTGGTTTAGTTGTTGGAATTAAGTCTAAACTTAACTAGTTAAAGTTAAAAAGTTGTTAAAATAAGTTAAAATAAATAAGTCAAAACTAGTTAGACTTAGAAAGTTGTTAAGTTGTTTGATTCATAAGTTGACAAGTATCCTTCCGTTAAAAATTAGGGGTATATTTGTACCAAAGTATAACGGGAGGGGTATAATTAAACCGAAAGTATAACATAGGATATATTTAAACTATTTCCAATAATATAGGGATATATTTGACCCTTTTCCCTTTTTAAATTATAGAATCAATGCGACTTAAAAAGCAAATGACACGTAGTAATAAATATTGTTAACTAACAAATTACATAGTTTTAAGGACCGTGTATATGCTAAAATTGCAAGTGAAGGTATTCCACCAATACTCAGCTATTACAGCGGATTCAAGATTTTTACAAAGGGGGTTCGAAAAATAAAAAATTAGCGCATGGAGTTTGAACTTGGAATCTCAAGGTGGATTCATAAAAAAATAATGTCATTTTAATTTTAAACATTGATATTTACTCAAATTCAAGAACTACAATACACCAAAAAGAAAGAAAAAATAACTACAATACAAACTTCACTTTCAAACTGTTTGAAAAAAAAGTTACCTGTCAATTCATGTTTGTGCAGCTAATGAAGACTACAACTATATTGATTGCCTTTTCATACCATGGCCATCACCAATTTATTTTCTCCATCCAGTGTTTGAAGTCCGCATCGAAGCCTTGACTAAATTCGGATCGCACACTGCAGGATCCGAGTGACACTCTCAACAAGATTTTCTCCATGCTTAAGACTCGGAATTAAGGGTGGAACAATTCCACCACTTCACCACAACCCATGTTAGTAGCCATCACCAATTAATGATCATGGACTTGGTTAAATTAGAGGTCTCATCTTAGATTCATATGTGGATTATAGTTGTACACCAATCTATCTGGTTTTGGCCCTACACATCTATGACCCGTTCATTTCCTAATGATGGTGACGACTAATCAGTTTGCATGTATCCTGATTATTTCACTAGATACCTGCATAACTATACCCTACATAAAGACGCCTTTCGTGGAAAGAAGTTGAAACAAAATATTTTAAGAGAGTAAAAAATTCAAATGTGTCTCACACAACTAACGTCCCACTGTAAAAAATTTCTCCATGTAAACACCAATCAATTGGAACTTCACAAACAATATAAGTTTTAGAAGTTGACAAAGTGGATGGAAAGCTGATAAAGTTGTGAACAGGCTGATGCAAAGGAGCTAAAAATGATAGAGCAGTCCAGCAGCCAAGGGATAAAAGTGTTTCTGGGGCTCTGGCAAAGAGTAAATTTCACCATTGTAACACGTACGTTAGCACTGAAGGCAAAGAAGATGAGACTTGTTATCTGTTGTTTCATTAATAATGTGTTGTGATTACACAACGATTAAACATCAATCCACAAACTAAAATTTCATAATTGTACCATAGCTCTTCACAGGGCATGCCAAGATTTGTATCTGTTGCTCGAAAGGATCATGGAAGGATAGGGAGCTCAACTTTGTTGAATGAGAAAAAGCTCAAACGTCCATGCTCAACAAGACAGAATTTCAACGGAATACCATGAGAATGTCTCTCAAGATCTTCAATTTCTTCTTTGGAGGGTGGATACTCACTGCACAAGAAAATACATCTTACTCTTAAACATTCAGCAATGTTCACCCATAGAATTGCTTAGCTAGTTATTTCAAGTTCCTATGATCAGCTAAATAATACTAGGAGGTGATTCAGAAAATTTTAGTAGGCACCTTAATATAATGAACGCATTAACAAGGGTATCGTACCTACCAAGACAAAGTACAAAACAGGGATCACCAGGAGCAGACTTTCTGAATCTGCTATTAGGAGGGTAAATGTCAAAGGCCAGTCTCAATCCACCAATCTGCATATTATTAATCATTTCAGAGATGAGAATGCTGTTTCTTGATTCTTCATCTCCACTTTGAGCAGGCTCCGGCATGTCTTGGTTAACAACACAATTTGCTTTTGACCTTCTTACTGACCAAGGAATCCCATGACGCCCAACTATATACCCAAGAGATTTCAAGTGCTTATATGCTTCATAATATTCCAAGGAACATCCACTTTTTCCTTCTGCAACCTTGTTGTATACATGTTCCAGAGAAAGAGGCGTGTCATCTTTACTGAGGAGATGTAGAGCCCCAATTTCGACAAGATATCTACATGAAAAAATCAGTATAATTCTTTAAATACTGGAAATTGCAGAAGATAAATCTCAAATGATACATAAATTTTTCACATCAATTCCTAATACAAATAGATTTGTCAGATGGAAAAACTTACTTTTAAATACTTGTTATCTATCTCTTCATATAATTTATCCATTTGGTTTTATACTGCTTCTCTAACTAGACTAATTTTAAACGTGTCGAAGCAGTAGACAAGTATGCAACCAAAGTCCCCAAGCATAACCCTCAGAGGGGTAACGATACTATCACTAGGAGTATCACAAATCTATACCAAAATCAACCCTCAGAATCATCGATGAGAAAAAACTCACCAGAAAAGTATGTCAATTTATAAACTGAACTATACAATGTTCACCTTTAGCAACCAGAAAAACAAGAGAAATAATACCTCTTTCGAGGTCTTGTTAAGATTCTCAAGAAAAAGTATTTTCATTTTTTCTTGGCCAAACAGATCTAAAATTTGACTTCTGACCAGATATGCTGAAAATAACCCAATTCTTATTTTCTCATGGCTTATTCTCAAATTATGCATGTACTCAAAGTCAGTAGTATTTAACTCTTCAACTAAAGGAGATAACCAAAAGAGAATTTTCATCACCTACAAAATCTCTTTGATGAAGCAATATATCTTGCCATTACGAACTATCCCAGTAGTTGTCCACAATCCACCTGTCACGCCCCGAGCCTACACCCTGGGCGGGACCGGCACCCGGAGACCATTGCTGGCCCCAAGCGAACCCTTGGCCTGGCTTTCTTAACCCAGCGGAAACCTAACTCAACAGAATAACTCTATGCAATGCAATGTTATAAAACAACTTAACAGATAAACTCTGGCCCAAAGAGGCAACTCGAGTCTCAAAATAGAATATATACATATATATATACATAGATGAGAAACTCAAAACTAACTGACTGACTGTCTATGAAGCCTCTAAAATACTGAGATGGATGTTGGGATAGACCCCGCAACATCCTAATAAAACAAAACTAGGAACACACAATATCCGAGTCCTCCGAAAAGCAAGGAGGCTCACCACTGACTCTGGAGTGCTCAACTGGATCAACGATGTGCCGAATGCTAATCCTGGGTACCTGTGTCTACATCATAATAAGATGCAGGCCAACTAGCATCAGTACATGGAATGTACGAGTAATGCGAGCTGGGAATCTAAACCACAACTTAAGCTTGAAAGGAGTACAAAAGAACACTTACCTTGGCTCTGTTCGACTCATGAATACCCGAACTCAATATATAAAGCAATAAGACACATGCAATATATAAAGCTTGTAAAACTATTAAAACCTGACGTAAAAATCATATTTATAATATCATGAAAATACCATGCTTCCTCTCAAAGTCTACTTGTGCAATGCATGAATGAAGTCCCATACCCCTATCCATACTAAGCAGAACTCCTCGAGGAACCATGCAATTTCTACTGTGGGAGTTTCTCTAACCGACAAACCACCACTATGAAACTAAGTGGTGATACGACATTTTACCTCACGTTGCCCGAGGACCATCCTCTCCCTTGCCGTGTTATAGGAAGCTAACTTTACTAAGTGGATCCACTAGCTTAACTTTACAGATTCATCTAAAAAGTATGACCCGTTAACTCCCATGTTGGCGCATGGTTCTTATGGAGAGTTGAGTTAATATGAACTCGCGTCCCCAATTCGGTGCTCAAGACTACTCCCAAAAATCTACTTTAGCTCATAAGTGTTTTAAACACATCTTTCTTTAGTTTGAGATAATTGCTCAAAATCTAGCCCAAAGGCTCTCTTGGAATCGATGTTCCTTTCTTACTCAAATGTAAAAACATTTAGAAAATTCTTTGGGAAATACATAGTTCCCTAATAACTTTTGAGAAATGGACTCGACTTTATGCTCTTGACTTAACTTGAAACTCGATACTCCTCACTTGACTTGGAACTTGAGACTCTTTACTTAGCTTGAAACTCTATACTCTTTGCTTGACTTGAAACTCTATACCCTTTACTTGACTTGAAACTTGAGTCTTGAAATGAAGTTAAAACGTTCAATACGACTCTTGAAAAGCTTTAGACTTGCTTGGACTTACTTCTTAACTTTACTTGACTTGACCCTAACTTCACTTTGACTTGATACTAACTCGTCTTGAATTGGATTGTGGATTCAAGGTATATGATCACACGTTTTTGGATGAGTTCTTGACTTTTAGAAGTACCTTGGAGTATTGGAAACAACTAGGAAACATAGGTACAATACCAAGGAACATGCATGAGAAAGTATGAAAAGAAAGGGGAAACTTGGCGTCCTTGGCGCTCTGCAAGGCGCGGAGCGCCAACCCTCGAAATTCAGAGGGGGCCTGCTGGCGCTCTGCTAGGCGCGCCGCCCCAAGGGGGAAAGTTCAGAACCCCTTTTGGGGGGCGCTGGCAGGCGCGACGCGCCACCCCTGTCCCCAGAAAACTCGATTTTTCTCCATCTTTTCTCCAGCCCTAAACCTTCTACATTTCAATGGTTCCAGCCCCAAACAGTTAGAATCATAAATCCCTCAACATACAATAGATTTTCAACTCAAAACACATACGGAAATATGCCCAAATCAATAAGGGACTTCAACAACACAAACAACAACATCAACAACACAACCCACACTTCAACAACACAACCAATGTTTTCTCAATAATAAAATGAATGTGGCGTGTGGGGGAAAGAACTAACCCACACTATGAACTCACATACCTAGTAGGGATCACCCCCGACGATATCCACGACGGAAATTTGCTTGATCTTCTCTTTCTCCTCTTCTTCTCTTCTTCACTCAAAAACCCTCAACTCTCACTCTTTTAAAATGGGACAAACTGATCTAAAAATCAGTCTAACACAACAATATAACCAAAGGAATTAGTTAGGGAAAAGACCAAAATGCCCTTAAAATTTCCGGACGGATTTCCCTGCCAATTGCCCAACTTCCAAAGGGCATAACTCATTCGTACGAACTCAGAATCGAGCAAACTCGGTGGATTTGGAAATATCATTGCACGAGCTTCACAAACATAACTAGCACTACTCCTAGTTCATTCTGAACTAGGAGTTATGACTGCTCAAAGTTGGCCAAAAACTCACTTTTTCCTTACTTAGCCAAATTTCCAGATTTTTTTTTATATCTTTCCAAAAATGACTATTTCCAATTCTAAGCCTCTTCATAGTTATTTCAAATCGCCGGATGTTACACCACCCTTCCTGAAGAAAAAGATTACCGCCTATTCACATTCCTATATGTTTTTCAAAATTATTTTTAATAATATATCTATATCATGAGATGGAACCTGAACTGCAACTTGGGTATATCAGTGGATGCATATGCACAACAATGGTTATCATCGTCAGGATCCTCTCTGTAGCTTTCAGAATCACTAGTTCCATTTGAAAAACTTGCCCACTTATCAGCTTCCATAGCTGGAATAAATATCAAATTTCCATAAAAGTTAAAAATTTAGCACAAATTACAACCATCTTAGCAAGTAGAGACTCTAACACTTGATTAATAAAGGAGAAGCTAATTGTAAGTTCAATTCATTACAATGTGAAAAACTCAAACTAATCTCATGAGTTACCAAGTAAAAATTGTACCCAAAATGTGGTGTAGCTCATGATTGAGCATAATCTCTAAACAATTAAAAAAGTTGATGTATTTACTTTAACAATAGATTGCGAAATTTGTGTATTGAAGAGTTCAAGGTATTTAAAATTTGTGTCATGGGAAGAATTTAAGAGAAGTGAAGGAATAAGACCTCTTGTATAGACTCTTGGTTCGAAATTAAAGGATGTATGGATTTTCATATATAAGTTCTAATATGACTATGGATGTGATTTGGTTCAGTATAGACTTACTAGGGTTTTATCATCAACTTTTATAAAGAATGAGTTTTGGTTTGGGTTACAAGCAATGATGTGTGAAAGATGTTGTATTTTTTGTGTTGGTTTGAATTGTTCGAATTATGGTAGGTGAATTAGGGATGCACCACATGGTGTGGACCTACAGTTCTACATGGTTAATGAGAATTTTGAGGGGATTGATACTACCTTGTTCATGGGACAATATAGACTGTTATGATGTGTTACATAGGCATTTGATGGTGAGTAGAGGTTATGGGCTTGTAGTATACAAAATTATTGGATTGACCAAGGATTTCTTTAAGTTTTGGCATGAGGTACATGATGGTATGAATGGTAGTTGAAAAATGGTATGTGAAAGTTCGCGTGAAGTTGACATTAAGTGTGATTCAATTATTCTACCTTGATGGGAAAGTATTTCTAGATTTGAAATTAGTGCTATCAGTCTTGGTATGACTTATATTTCTCAAGAATGCTTAAATAGAAAGATAGAGGGAGCCATATTTTGAAATTTTTAGAGGCTACAATGTGTTTGCTAAGAAGACTTTGATACTAGTGACAGTTTGAGAGTAAGGTAAATGGCTGGTGTTGCAATGATGTTTGTTGGTATTAAGAGTGTCAGCTTCAATGGAGTACTGTGAGAAGTATGTGGGCTTTGATGAATCTACTATTTGTAATATTGTAATGGGGATCAGACTGGTTGATTAAGGGTGGCTAAATATCAAGCGATGGAGTCAGATGAATGGAATTTTATTCATATGAGCACTATGGAAGGAGTATCTAGTATTATTCGATCTTGGTTCTGTATATTCTTATGTGACCATCTACTTCATTTTGGATATGATTTGGAACGTGATTAGTTATCTATGTCCACACATGTTTTCACTTTTATGGGTAGATCCCTAGTGGTGGATCAGATGTAACGATCCTGCGATGTCCTCTTGGTAGGATAGGAAGCTTGGAAAGACTTGCTCGTTTTTGTTATGACATATATGGCGTTTTCTTAAAGTAGTTGAAGTATTCCAGTGGTTTTACAAGCACAACTTTTCTTATGAAAATTTATTGGAAAGCTATCATGAAATTTTACAATTGTCCGCCAGACTTAAGATATATCTCATCATCGGTATCACGCTTTGGCTATGTGTGATTGAATGTGGGGACCATTGGGTCTAATTTTGTTGTTCTTAAGGTTTGTCTACAATCACAACTATTGATCTAAGTGCTCTGACAAGTGTTGCTAGAGGTTCTGTATGCTTGGGTGTATCACTCGCTGTGTGGTTACTTGATCATTTTCTTCTTTGGGTTAGATAAGTTTGATTCTACGTTGATGAGTACCCAATATCTAAATATTAGGTGTTTATAACTTAGGCTCGTGAAAAGATTGTGTTGTGAAAAGGAAATCTTGATAAGATCTGTGATGGTTTGTGCATTATGAGTGTTTGGTGGTTGGTTGTAGTTCACTTTTGGTTGTAGATAATATTGGTTCAAAATTTTCTCGTGGTTATGTAAGAAAAGATTCATGTTGATGATTCTGTTATACTTCAGTGTGTTTCGGTTCAGATTGGATTCATGAGTTAGTTTGTGTCTTGGTGATCACTCCTACATTGTAGATTTGTCAAAGTTTGATTCGAAAGTTCAGTTATTAGTAGTAGATCTTGATAGAATGGTCTCAAGGAGGAACTCACTTGGAGAGAGAAACACGACTCCGAAAGTCATACCTTAGACTCTTGGTATCCCCTAGTATTTAAATCTTTTTCTTTATGTTCGGGGACGAACATGGATTTTAGTGGTGGATAATGTAATGACCCGGAAGGTTGTTTTTGGGATTTTTCATAAAATTAGCATTTTACCCCTCTTGATATTTGCCCCGAGTAAAATTTGATTAGTCGGTAAAGTTGATTTGAAAATTTTAAATTATTCAATAACTGCGGTTATTTAATTGATGGGTATATATTAAATAAATTATTTATTTAGTTGGTGGTTAATGGGTCAATGTCATAATTTAATATCCTATACTATTTGACCCATGATAAAATAAGTTAGTAGGGTTTAACATATTAGCCACAATTTGAGAAAGAGATAAAGAGAAGTAGAAACTTACCTGTGCGGACGAAAGCAAAAACTGAGTAGTTCGTGAAGAACTTATGCGACCTCAACAAGGGAAACAACGAGTATTAGGTAAGAACAAAATCTATCAAATTAATTTTCTATCCTTGTACAAATATATACTAGATATGTATATATAGTTGACCGAATTGTAGTATGTTAATTGGTTTTGGGGTTGTGGGGAAGCCATTAAATATCAATTATCTCAATCTGTACCCATTTTATATATTAAATAATGTTGGATGAAGAAATTGGAGTGCACACTGATGCACTGTAGCATGTTGGTTGTTGGAGTTGTGGATTAGTTAAAGGTTTCGGTCATGTATTGTCGTGTTGAAAATTTTTAAGAACAAAGGAATGTAAGTGACCATTCTTCATGTGATGCTGGCCAATGATTGCCATTTTGAATACATTGTGATAAATTAAATAAATTAATGATGGGGTTTAGATTTTTGTAAAGTTATCAATAGATAAGGATGCTGATTACGTCTCTAAATTTGGTCACCATCTTATGATTCAAGTTTACATATTAATATACATAATTGAATAATAGATATATTATATTATATGAATACCATTAGATTATGGTATCGGAGGAGTTAGGACTTAACCCTAGGCTTTAAATTTGAAAAAAAAAACATGAGAGTGGACATGTTAATTGGCACCAAGATTAGAAACTTGATTATAAATTGAGTCAGTTTTTGGGTCTAGGCTAGAAATATGAGTGTTGTTAGTTCGAAATCTTATTGTGATTTTAATATGAATAGATTGCTTTGAGCTGGAAGTCCAACGAAAAGGGAAGGCTCAAGTCTCAGAGTGATTGTTCGACTATTTGAGGCAAGTGGATTTCTAAACCCTTGTTAAGTGTATGGAATTCGTGTATTTCTTTGTGATATGTGTTTGGGGGTAATGAGACTTGATGATGGGTTGACTTGTACATATTGATTATTTTCTAATGATGAAAAAGGGGTAATAAAAGGCAATGTGTTTAATTGTTGATGTGTGATGTTTAAGACTGAGTTCAAAGGCTTGTTGAATCATTGTTGATATTGTATCACAGTTGTATTGTTGTGAATTGTGTATTGTTATGAAAATTGTCATCTCCTCATTATTTGTGTGAACATGTCATGTGAATTGGTTCTGAGACATGGTTGTGAGAAGTGTTATGTGATAAGAGGATGTACCATTTCGAGGAACGTATCGCGCACCGCGATGGATACTATATTTTGAAGGACGTATCGCGCGCCGTGATGGTTACTATTATCGAGGGTCGTGTCGCGCGCCGCGATGGATGCATGGACAGATGTGTCCCCCATGGGTCCCGGACTGAGAGACAGTGGGTGTGTATCACTAGGTCAGACATGCATCACTATACTTGACATTGCATCCCATTGCATTGCACATATTTATCATTAGTGAACTTGATATTGTGTTTTGCTGATCTTGTGAGTGTCTTTCTGTGGAACTTTGATTGGTGAATATTGAGCTTGTTGTTGAGGATATGTAATTGTTAGAGTGTTGTTGTTGAGTTGTGTGCTATGTGAATTATGAACTGTTAGATTGGGCTGGTTTTATGCAAGTTGTAGCTGTGGAGGTTCGGTTGGGGTGTAAGGAGTACCCGTATTCTATCCCCTTAGCTTGTGTTTAGAGGTTTACTTGCTGAGTACCGCGTTGTTTGGTACTCACCCCTTGCTACTACTATTTTTTTGTAGGTTACTAGCCCGGACCTTTGTGATATATTATCTTCTTTCCAAGGCTTCTTGGAGATTTGTGAGGTAGCTGTTTGTCAACTCTACAGACCTTCTTACTCATGTTTATGATCTTGTTCTACTCTAGAAACAATGTCATATGAGACTTGTATTTTTCTTTTGATTCAATTGTAATACTTTAGAGGCTTGTACACGTGACAACTAGATTTTGGGGGTATTTTTGAGCTTACTATAAAAATTTCTGCATTTTATTATAATGGTTGAGTTTTAGGCTGACTTGTCTTGGTGGGTTAAGACAAGTGCCATCACATCTATTTTTGGGTCGTGACAGTGTCATCCGCTTTTTAGGTCGCATTGATTCTATAGTTTAAAAAAGGGAAAAGGGTCAAATATAGCCCTGTATTATTGAAAATAGTTTAAATATATCATACGTTATACTTTCGGTTCAATTATTCCCCTCCCGTTATACTTTGGTACAAATATACCCCTAATTTTAACGGAAGGACGATTGTCAACTTATGAATCAAATAACTCACTCCCAATTTTAAATACCTAATTCCCTTTAGAAACCCACCCATTTAACCTATTCCCAACACGTTTTCATAGTCATCTTCTCCACTTGAGATTTTCATTAAAATCAGCACTTAATCACTACGAAAACTTCAAGACCACAATGTGGCGTGCTATTTTTTCACCAAAAAAATTTCTTGCAAAATGTTGCAATTTTGATATCGCTGATAGTGAA